AGATGATAGCTGTCAAATTTTCTCGTTGAATTTTCAACGGGCGTTCCTGAAGTACGTATTTGTAAACCTGATCTGCAACAGTTGACTGCGAGAGAAAACACGTGTTGTGTACGGATAACAACAGCAAGCTTTTCGACCTCCCGCTGCTGAAATTAACGAAAAGCCATGAGTAGTGAAGAACATAGCACAGAAGAAGATATAAAAGGGTTGGTGATAAATGTTTGAATAAATATTCGGAACCTTCATAATCAATAATTTTCGTGAAGTGTGTATCAAGATGGATAACCATTCAGAAGACAGACGAAGTAGATCGCTAAACGTTTCAAACGAGATACAAAATGACTGGCTCTCCCTGGGGCCTGAGCTTCAACTGCTCCTTCTGTGGCTTGTGTAGCAGAACGCATCTCCGTCTGCTTGATAATAACACAAAACACTGCTCGTATCTTTGTGTACGTTTCTTTATATCGGCCGACCTTGTAATGCTTTGCTATTGAGACATGGCGAGAGGCTAGAGTTAAAAGAACTATAATTATATCTGAAGTAATTATTATTCGTTCTGATGGGTAATTTTCTACAATTACCCCGCCTCCCTGTACGCCAGGCCATATTGGTCATAGCAACGATGCCGCCTTCACTGTGCAGGCCTGAACATCCCCTGGCCATGTACACTCGCAGCTTGTGAACAGGAACCTCTCCTGACACAGAACCCTTCTCGTTCACGGACTGGTGCTGACAATTGCCGTTGTTTGGCTTGACAAAAATGTAATTAAGTAAACCCAATGAAATTTCATGCAACGCGGGGAGGAAGGTTAACTCTTATTATTATCCTTTGTTTTCGTGGTAACTGAGGAACTAATTAACCAACGAAATAACCAGCCAACTATTCGGGTAGCTAACAAATTAAGAAACTAATTAATTAACAACAACCTAACTCATTAACCAATGCACTAGAAAATTGTGTAACCAGCTCAGTAATCAGCTAAATCATTAACTAACCAATCATTCTCTAATCAATATATAACTAACCGAATATATTGTAGCATGTAGTACCGTTGCTATGCAACGGTCGCGAGAAGGAAAATGCGTAACGGCCGTTAAACACGTCAACGATATTCGAGCTATCGCTAGGTAACCGCTCATAGAAATAGAAAATTGTTGGAAAAGGTGCTCTCTGTTGGGTCCGCTCCGATGATGTATAGCGAGGACCCCAGATCGGCTGAGTGAGTCAACTGAAGGTTGGTAGTTGAGTCGAGCTCTGCAAGGGAGGCTAAGAAGAGAGGTCAGTAA